GTTAAGGGAAGTTCCTGGTGCCCATCCCCCACCCCTGGCTGAATCGGGTCATCTGGCTCCTGACCTTTGCTATTTCCTCTCTATTTATTTTATAGACTTCAAATATAAAAAGGCAAATAAACATGCTGGGCAAGTCATCGAGCCTCCTCTTATCAGTCTGAAAATCATAGTTTACGGCTCTCCTGTGCAGTGATCGCCTCGGCTGTGACCCCCAGGAGGCCTGGGCACAAGGTCGGGTTTTCCCCACCCCAGTGCCCCACTCCACCTGACAAAGTGGGGGGTTTCCCTTCCCCCTGGGTGCTGCTGGGGGCGGGCTTCTTACGGTTTCCCGAGAAAAATGATTTTCTGAGACTCGCATGGGAGAACCAGTGATTTGCGTGGAATTAAGTCCCTGTGTTTCTCAAGTCCCATTTCCCTTAGTCCCTCATAGAAGTGCAGGAGGGGTTTCAGCAGAGCTAAAATCAGAGCCAGTGTCCAGAGTGTCCATTCCATGGTGGAGCCAGGTCCAGTCCAGCATCAGGCCAGTTGCAGTCCATCCGTCCATTGTGTGTGGGGGTCCGCATGGCCGTGGGCCACACGGGAGAAAGCCGGGAAGCCAAGAGTGAGCCATGAGCCAAGCATGCCCAGAGGAACCAGGAGAGCAAACTTCTTTGTTTCAGGGATTAAATAGCCCAAATTTCCTCAAACTAGCAGTAGCCATGCCCATTCCGGCCAATGACCTCTGTTCCCAGGTGTGACTCACAGCGAGCACCTTCCCCAGTCATCTAACTTTACTGGGCATGAGTCTATCTTCCCTCTGCCTAGTCCCCTTCCCCCAGTGTTTTGCAGGGGACATGCCTACAATGTCTGGCCTCCCCTTTGCTCCTGTCCTATTATTAATAATTAGCTAATTACAATAGTATCACACCTGGCCAAGGTGTACAAAGGCCTCTCTGCAGTTCCAGGATAGGACCCCCCCGTACTGCTCCTCCACCCCCGAAGCTGGACACTGTAGCAGCTCCCAGTCCCTAACAGGAGTCACTGCATCTACCCAAAGTGTACCCTGTGCTGCAGACCCCAGAGGCTCCCATGAGGAAGGACCCTGGGAAGGGCCCCCACAGCCCGCCTGCCCGCCTTAGCTCTCCCTGCCTTTAACAAGCCCGCAGCTCTGGTCTCCCGCCCACCCCACTGTCCAGCTTCCTCCAGCTGTCCGGATGCAGAAGGGGTCTCCCTGCCACCCTGAGCTGCCCCAGAGTTCACCCAACAGGAGCTGGCCTTTTCCCCAGAAGCATCTGCCGCTGAGCCAGGCCCCAGCGATGGCAGACTGGCCCACTCCTGTCCGGAGAGGGAGCCCAGAATGCTGCCCGCAGGGTGGCCAGGTGTTGGGAAGCAGCCTCGGAGTCCACAGCCCTGTGTGTCACCCCCAGGTCACCTCTTGCCACCAGGTCATCCTGACTTAGGTCCCTAACCTCCCCAGGACTGTTTTCTCACCTGTGGGGAATCACCTTGAGGACTGAAGTGAGCTGGTGCTAAGCACACGGGCAGGCATCCTGGCAGGGCCCAAACAAGGCAGTCACCCTGACAGGCCGGGGAGCCCAGGGGTCCAGACCCAACCCGAACATGGCCTTGAGGCCCTCCCCTGGGTGTGGTGCTCCCCACGGCTCAAAGGTGTGCCAGCAGCCCTGATCCCTAGCCACCTTTGGAATTATTTTCGGCCAACCCCACTTCACTGGCCCTTCCAGCTCAAAGCCACCCTCTGGCCACCAGTCTGAGGGCCACCCTCCACTCCAGCAGCGCTTGGGCTCTCCCAGGTGGGCAGGTCTGGCCTCTGACCTCCGGGAGTTGAGTCTGAGATGGGGGGCAAGAGCAGGTCAGGCAGGACAGCCCTGCATGCCCTGGAGGGTGGAACAGGCTGGCCCTGCTGGAGTGCCCAGGGGCAGTGCCCACGGAGGGCACAGGCAAAGGCTCATGGGGCTTCAGTTCTCACATTTCAGACTCCCTCGCACCAGTGTGGCCTGGGAGCACCCACCCATCTAATGATCTCTGTATGATTTGAGCAGGTGAGGTTACTTTCCTGGGCCTCAGTCTTTCTATCTGTAAGTGGGGCAGATGCTTCTATGTCCAGCACCGATCGTTTGGGTCTTGTGTGCCACGTAGGGGTGAGCATTTTGTAAATCATCAGCTTACTCTCCCCATATTTGGGTCTCTTCGGTCCCAGGACATTTCTTCCAGGCATTCAGCCTTGACAGGCAGCAGCTGGAAGGCTCCTCCTGCAGAGTGAAGTGGGGAAGACGGAGGGCAGAGGGCGGCATTCCTGGCAGCCAGCACGTGCAGCTGGTGCAGGTGTCCTCCCATCCCACCCAGCGGTGTCCTGGTGGCGTCCTGTGGCTGACCGCCAGGGAGGGAGCCTGGGCAGATACGCAGGAGGCTATCACCACAAATAAGGCCATGGCCTCCTGGGACAGGGGAAAGTAGGTCAGAGGCCATGGAGGGGACAGTGCTAGAAGGCGCTGCTGGTGCCCGGTCCCCGCGGATGGCCAGCAGGCCTCTGGCCTGGGTGTTGGGTGGCAATGCTGTATTCTTAGACAGGACGTCAGGATTCAGGCAACCAATGTGTGAGCTGACCTGGGCAGGCAATGGCTGCTGGCTGCTGCTGGGCAGGATGTCTGGCCCAACCTGGGCCGCAGCCCAAGCCCGCAGACTGGACAGGGGCAGGTGGCAGGTGGCAGGTGGCAGGCCTGATTGATCGGGGTTCCCAGCTGCAGGCTGAGCCCATGCACTCTGGCCGAGATGGCAGCCAGGCCATGTAGCCCCTGCGTAGGGCTGGGGCCAGCTGTCCCCTCGGCAGGCCAGTGACAGATGAAGCACCAGCACACTCTGTGGCCCCACGTGTGGCTGTGAGGCCACACATGGCAGCCTGGCAGGAGACCCCACAAGGTGATCCCCACACCATGGGCTGCCTGAGGACTCAGTGGAATGAAGAGAGGGGATGTGGGGAAAGGCCTGAGTGGCCTTTCCCAGGCAGACATGTGGACAGAGCACTCTGCCAGGGCCCAGCATGGGACGAGTGTTCGTGCCAGGCCAGAGGTGGGCGAGGTGGCTGGAAAGCTATTGGGAAGCTGGGCTGCTGTGGCCTTTTCTGTTGGATGCTTTCACAGCTAGCTCCTGGCACACAGCAGGGCCCGCAGCTGCCTTAGGGCAAAGCTGCCTCTTTCCTCCCATGGCCCCAGTGCTGTGCTCAGAGTCCTGGGTCTGACCCCTGCCCAGCCCTCTCCCCATCCAGCTCAACTGCAGGAAACGAGGCTTTTGAGAGCATGGCCTTCATTCATTACCTTCTCCCCTGGGTAGAAGCCTAGGGTCTTGCATGGGCCAGGCCCCTCCCAAGTGGGCCAGAATGACCCGCCCCCTCTCGGGTGGAAGGCCACTGCGTTACTTTGCTAGGGTCACTAGGGGTGGCTTAACTGTCAGGAACTGTCACAGCTGCAGCTCACAAACGCTGGAGGTCCAGGGAGAAGGTGCTGGAAGGCTGGGTTTCTGGAGGCCTCTCTCCTGGGCTTGCAAACCGCTGACCTCTTGCTTTCTCTCCATAGAGGCGTCCCTCTATGCATGAGGCCCTGGTCGAGGGGTGTCCAAATTCCCTCTCATAAGGATCCCAGTCAGATTGACTTGGATCCACCCATAGGGCCTCATTTTATCTTAATCACCTCTTTGAAGGCCCCATCTCCAAATACAGGACCTCCACATTCTGAGGTCCTGGGGGTTAGAGTTTCAACATGTGAATTTTATTATTACTTTTTCATATGTTTTTATTGATTTCAGAGAAAGGAAGGGAAAGACAGAAACATCAATGATGAGAGTCATTGATCGCCTGCCTCCTGCACGCCCCCTGCTGGGGATCAAGCCCACAACCCAGGCTTGTGCCCTGACCAGGAATCGAACTGTGATCTCCTGGTTCATGGTTCGACGCTCAACCACTGAGCTACACCGGCCAGGCTCAACACACGAATTTTAGGGGGGAAACAATTCCACCCATAACAACCACTGAGAGCCTGGCCTGATCTATGGACCTGGTCCACTGAATGAAGATGGGCAGGGGTCCCGCCTCAGGGCCTCCTCAGTGTTTTATAGTTGAGGGTAGGGCAGAGTCTGAGTCCTCCCTGGGCCCCTGACTCAGACTCCAGGATTTTATGAGCCGAAGTGGGACACTGAAGGATCTCTAGAAGGGGGGGGGAAGGAGTCTAGCCCGGAGAGGTCACAGAAGAGGCCCCGCAGGGAGGCTGGTGTTCCGAGCCCCTGCCCACCAGCCTTTCCCTGCATCCTGGGCACACGCAGCACTGGCTTCCAGAGAAGTTTCACATCCACATTCCCGAGCCTCGGAGCAGCCGTGTGGGAGGGAGGAGGCCAGGCAGGGAGATCAGGTCCGCCTTGCCCAAGGGCGGGGCTCCGGCTCACAGCCCACGTCCGGCCCTATCTGCGCTCGGCTCTGTGGCTCCCTGCACGAGGCCTGACGCTGGGCTGGGTGCCCAGGGAAGAATGAATCACAGGGCGCTGGCAGGATAAGACCTGTACGTGTGGCTACCTGGTGCCAGGCACAGGCAGCCAGGGCGTGGGCTTGTCCGTCTGTCATCTGCAGGGAAGGCTCCTGTGGGCGGAGCCAAGGAGAAGCTGACAGGAGAGCTGACCGGAGGCAGGTAGCTGGGGCTCTTGGAACCAGGCCTCTGTCCTTTCTGAGCCCTGTGCCCTCAGGCATGTTGCTCAAGTCCCTGAGCGTCCCTGAGCGCAGCTTCTTCATTGATGAATCTGGGCTGGGTGCACTTGCGTAACAAAGATCCAGCGCTTATTACGGGCGGGACTGTTTCTGGCACCAGGGCTGCAGGGGAAGACGCGTCCTCATGGAGTGGGGAGGAGGGCAGACATGCTGAGGGCAGGATGGAGGCCTGCTGGGGTGCCCGGCCGGGCGTGGCTCAGCAGTTGAGTGTCGACCTAGGATCCAGGCGATCGGGGTTCAATTCCCGGTCGGGGCACATGCCCGGGTTGCGGGCTCGATCAATGACTCTCTCACCATGGATGTTTCTATCTCTCTCTCTCCCTCTCCTTTCCTCGCTCTGAAATCAATAAAGATATATTAAAAAAAAAAAGAGAGAGAGAGACCTGCTGGGATGCAGTGCAGCATGCGCTTAGCTGGGTGGTCAGGGAAGACTCCCGCCCCTTCGAGGAGGGAAGGGTCGAATCTGGGCTCAGAACAGCAGCTCCCTTTCCTGGGGCCTGCTCAGGAGGAGAGGAGGGCTCAGCTGTCTCACTCCCCCACCCCAGCTTTCTCCCAGAGCCCTAGGAGGAAGGCCACCTCCTCCAGCCAGCCTTCCCTGACTGCCAGCCTGCAGGCCCCTTGGGCTCTGGTGGCTCCCGGGGCGCTCACACTCCAGCACCCCCCCTTGCGGGCTGGCCATGAGCACCTGGGGCAGGGGCTGCGGGACCCCAGCTGCTCTCTGCAGCCCCGGAGCCCAGGTGGGGACACACACGGGACTGCAGTGGGCAGCTGACCATGACTGAACGGTGCAGGGCCTGTGAGCCAGCCTCTGCGGCCTGTGACCTGGACACTCCTCCTCTGGGGGGATCAGCCAC